AGATTAAAAATATTTACAAGAAAATGAAATAGGGGAAGAAATGAAGAGACATCTAACAACTACTTATCCACACAACTTTGATTCAGAAGGAACTCGATCCATAGCCTTGACACTTTTGAAATTGAAAAAGAGAGGAGATCACAGTCCATGTAATGTTTATCCACCTGCACAACTAGCCAGTAACTTATAATGGACCTAAGGTTCTTATGGAGCTTAGGAAATACATTCATGTCCCATGTCACGTGTATCCTTATTTACATTTCTGCTAATCATGGAGTAATCAATCCCAAACTTCAGTCAATCAATCCATCCAGAATTTGATGTAACAAAAAATTTAAGATCAAGCTAAGGTAGGCAAAATTCTCCAGAAAAATCAAGAAAACTGCTACACGCTGAGAGAGAAGCCATTTTTGCCTGTGGTATTGATGTCTGCCAATGGTTGGCATGGAGTTGTTGGTCCAAACTTCTTCCTAGACTCTGGGACCTCCATAGGGAAGGGAGGGAGAGTACTTTTTCATCTGGTTTCTTCTTCTTAGAAAAGCTTTCTTGCTATTAACTTCTTAGGTAGGGAGTTTGTGAAGAGGAAAAGTAAACAAAAAGAGTATAATATGACTACTGCCAAGTGAGGCAGGTGTTTTTAGAGAGAGTGTTGAAGTTTTATTACTCTCAAAACATAAAGTTTTGGAGAAATGTTTCTTTAGAAGTGGTGGTTAGGGATCTATGAAAAAGAGTGGAGTGAAGTAGCAAAAGTATGCTCCGTTACTAAAATACTTCACAAATAAGTTATGGAAAAATTCAAAAATCAAATTGTATACATATGTATAACATTCTTTTTCTTATATATGATCATTATAAAGGTAAAAAATAGATATCAATACTTAATATAATAGACATCTTTAGCAGATTCAAAGCCAGTATTTCTCTAATATCAAAAAATAGTTCTAAGATTTCTAAAATGTTCAAAAAAATTTATAATAATTACAATAATCCTCTTATATATCTGACACTTCTACAATATAATAGTAGTAAAGAATTCATGTGTGAAATTGTTCAATTAATGAAGATACATAATGTCACAATTCAAGTAATTGATGCTTATAATCATTATGGATTGGCTCTTGTAGAATGATTTAATAAGATGTTAACAAAGATATTTTATAAAATCTAATATGTTGTTGAAAATATAACTTCAAACTCTAAATCAATAAGAGCATGAATAAAGTATTTGCCAGAAGTCATTGATTACCTAAATAATTATCCAATATATCTTATTAGAGCTCCAGATTTTACAAAGTGGGGTTTAGCTCCCAAGCTGATCATTAAGTTAAAACAAGTAGAATCTAGATCTTCTATAAAATATAAGTATCCTGTTGAGAAATATGAAGAGAATAAATTGAAGAAAAGTAATACAGTTCACTATCTACTTGCTAATGCAAAGTGAAAAGGAGGTATGGAAAATCAGAAATATATAACAGATCCAACATTCTTATCAAGCCTTCATAAAATTCGAAAAATCATAGTAATAAAAAATAAACCAGTTTTATATTATCTTGAAAATAATGATGATGAATATCCTTCAAAGTGAGGATTTGTGAGAGAGAAGCTAATGCATATAGATCTAAAAAAACTTCTGTATTTATACTAAACTATATTGAAAGAAAATATATGTTCTGGATTTGTTAATTTCATTCAAATTATTAATAAAGTGGCTAAGGCTGAAGAGTATGCAAAAAAGTATGATAGAAAATGTCCTGGTAAAACTGGTCAAATAAATGATCTTGATGTATATCTTTAGTCATGTGAAAATAAAAAGCATTGGTGATATGTATCATATAAGATCCAGAAGCATTAATTTGAATAATGTCTTCTATATTCTTATTTTAAAAGAAAGCAATCTACAAAATATATTTTTAGATAAAAAGTTTTAGATCTTGTAAACCAACATTTTTAAATAGAATATAATTAGATGGTTATAATGAAAAGTTAAAATTAGTATATGAATATTAAGAATCTTAATATTTTCATCTGAATCCAATATTTAATAAGTGAGATAAGATAAACTTAAACCAACAAAAAATTAGCAATAAAAAAAAGTAAGATATACAGTATGCAAGAAACAAGGTATAGATCTTATTTCAATACTGTATATTATTGATTTATTCCCATTAAAGATGGGGAGGCAGGAACAAAAGTCAAATGTTTCTCACTAGAATATATTAAAATTTTTAAATTAATAATTATAACAAAACTTTCACAATTGTTTTTTATTATTTAAATCATTGATTTATAGCATTTTCTAATTTTTGTTTCTATTAAAGTGAAGAGCTATATATTTTGTTTCTCAAAAAAAAACATAAATAATCTATAAAATTTTATATGCTAAATACTTCAAGAACCCATTATTAATTTCCATATATAAAAAACAAATTACAAAAGAAAGATTATTTATCACATAAAGAATAAATTTACAAATATACAATAAGTACCCATGTCATATATTAAATTATTGCAAAGTAATAACACTTTGAATCTATATCCTCTATATTACCTTAAACTTTTAACTAAAATTTTCTTATATTTTATCAAGAATAAAACATTATACTCAACTTTATTTATTAACTAGTTATGGTATTTATATTCCATCCCAATATTATGAAGAAAGGTCAAATTTATCGATGACTTAAAAAATCCATATATATGGTAAAAAAATTTTAAAAAAGTAATGTGTGAAAAATATTAACCATATATTTCATATTTATTTCAATTTTCTTTCTTTAGATGCAAGATCTATAATGATATATTGTATAAGATCACCAGATTTATATTATTTAAAGATCGAATGGTATTGTAGTTTTTCTGATAGAGTTGTTAGTAAGATTATACAAATTTGTCCTTTCGAATTCCTCAGCATTTTGTACAATAGTAAATGTATAAAACAAACTAGTGAATTATATAATATAATAGATACAACTTTATGTAACATTATTAATTCATATCCAAATCTACAATATCTAAAACTTGGATCTTATAAGATAACTGATATATTATTGAGAACAGTTGCTCAATCATGTATTAATTTATATTGCTTAAAATTAGATTATAATAAATGTATTACTGATGCATCTATAGTTCTAATTGCACAAAACTGCTCATATTTAGAACATCTTAATTTATAGGAAGTAATATTATTGATATATCATTAAAACAGATTGCTAAATTATACTCAAAACTTTACAATCTAAGTTTAATTGAATGTCAAAAAATAATCGATGAAGATATATGTGTAATTGCTAAAGCATGTCTGAATATATAAAAATATATATTAGAAGGATGTGAAGAGATTATTGATATAACAGTTAAAAAAATTATGCAATCCAACCCAAATCTTAAATATCTTAACTTTAGTTGATGCCTTGTATCCCATAAATTCATTTGTGTAATAGCATAATCATGTCCAAAACTTGAACAGTTTTATCTTGAGGGATGTGACATTATTACTGATGTATCTATATCTGTATTAATAAATTTATGTAATCTCCAGAAGCTTGATATTGAGAATTGTAATGAAGTTAATACAAATACAATTATAATCTTGCAAAATAAAAACCCTACTCTTGATATTGTTGGTTGGTATTCAGATGTGAATAGTGAGTCTAATATATCATTATAGATTTGAAGAGAGATCAGAAATCCAATGCTTAGCATCACCATTGCTCTGTGATAAAAAATTGGATAAATCTATGATACATATATAGCAATAAAGATCCTTATTTTTCAGGTATAATAATTACTGTAAACTACTGCATACAATATCCCCCTAAAGTAATACCCCCCCCTTAAATAATACCCAGTAGTATTCAAGAAAATTGTTACTTAATAAATGATTACTACCTGGGTATATTAAGCTAGAGCCAATAAAATTGCAGTATGAATAGACAAGCGAGAGATACATCAGATGATAATAAGACACTAAATATCCTGTCATTTATATTACCCCCCTTCTAGTAGAATACCCCCCCGGGTACTAATCAATTATTATGGGATAAATTGATTAATACCTGGGGTATTGTATGCAGTGGTTTGTGGTAGTAACTTAGCTTGATCGGGATGAAAGATAAAGGCATGCCCATATATGTATATAATATTAATGAGACATCTAAAAAATCATTAGAAAGAAAGAATGAAGGGTAATAGGTATTCACCAGACTGCCCATTTAGGATGCTCATAAATGGAAGCTCAAATAGTGGAAAAACTAATATGGAAATAAATCTCATGTTAGGTAAGAAACTCAAATGTATGTTCAATGGGAAAAAAGGCGATCGGTATATTAGAAATGATGATCTGGTATTAGTAGCAAACCGAAATGGGAGTTAGTAAAAAAATGCATATCAGATCTTTGCAAATGCTCCAAAACCATATCGAGAGAATATAACATTCAAAAAGATAGCACCAGACAAGATCCCTGATATAACTAAATTCTCTCCAGAGCGAAGTACAGTTGTTACTTTCGAAAATCTATGTGCGGAACCCAAAAAAGTGCAAGAACGAATTATTCCTTACTTCATTAGTGGCCGGCACCAAAATGTCTCACCTATATATGTAAGCCAGAAATATACACAAACACCTAAAATTATTCGTGAAAATATCTCACATTTATGCCTATTTCGGGTAGTAGAGATGATATTAGTAGAATCGTACGTCAATACACAGATGATCCGAAAAAAGCATCCAAGATGATTGATAAACATTTACGGGATCGAAATTTTGTAGTCTTCGATTTTACTAAGGCCATCGATGATCCTCTAGCAGTTAGACTCAGTTGGGACACGCCCTTAAAATTGGATGAATAAGGCTTGATCCGCCTTTTTTGCAATTCCAGTAAGAAATTTCATGTTATATTACAGTATGTAAGCGAAATCTTAATATTATTTTATTAAGAATGAATATCACAAGCATAGTAAAGAAACGATATTACTATTATTAAAATTCTATTCAAACATTATTTACGTTTAACTATTTCTTTAAACTGCGGTGTTCTCAACGTAGCTCTCAACCTATTTATGATTTCTACAGGAACATTACCATTTTCTTTCTTTTTGTTAATATAATCACGAAGCCTTTGCACTTCATTCTCGTATTTTTCCTGGGATTCGCAACAAATGTCACTGGTTAGTTTTAAGAATAATAAGTCAGAAAAGAATATCGAAAATGTTAATTTAAGCATACAGTGAATGTGAACAAATTGTCAATGCCATTAATGAATTGTCCGCAGGTTTGAAAGGACTTTGGAAGTTCGGTTTCGCCAGTATCGAACATAATATAGAGTCCTGAAGCGGTCAAAACCATGATATAACCCGTCCATATTGTCACTACCATGCCATATATTCGTGAGTACACAAAAAAATTCAGAAACATTATAATGATTATGAAATGAACACTTACCTATTGTTTGCCACGCAAAAATCATATGATCTTTCCCTGTCTTCTTAATGAGAAGATCAAGAGCATCCTTCATGAAAATGCCTAGCCTGATAAGATCTAAGTTGTTTTTCTTTTCGTTGTTGTTTTTTCCTTCTCCTGTTATCTCACCAAACATAATTCGTATTTGGATTTGTTGTTATTCACAATATTTCCGATCATGCCTGGTTGCTTTGCTCGTGAAGGATCTAGATCGGCAAGTTTACGGATTTTGCTACTCACACTGGCAGTGTTGGGCCAAATGGCCGGATGTATTGAAGCATCGTGAAAGAAGAAGCGCAATACTGGACTAATAATGTTGGCAGTCAGAGTGCCCTCACTAAGATGGTCCTTAAATGGCTTAACAGGGATATTTTTCGTTCTGTGAAATAGATAAAAAATGTTATAACCAGCTGGACATATAAGAAATAAAAGCATCATGAATTTGGACTTACAACTGTAGAAAGATAAACCGTATCCTTTCAAACCTTTTCTGGTCAATGGGGTTATCAAAGGACTTTGTGAATAATCGTTCTACGCTTCTTTCCGCTTCTTTCAGCCCAAGATCTTCATCTAGTGCGGTCTAATACACCAAAACCACCATATAAAAAGTTATAATATGTAACCTTTCGAGAAAAAAAAAATACATTAATACAATAATACCTCGATACATTCTCGAAATATCGTCTTTACGCCTTGCGCAACTTTTGTTTTCACTATATACGTATTGCGCATATATTTATGAAAATCTACTAGAGTATCACCGGAGAATTGTTCAATCTGCAGATCCGAGAAATTATCAGCTTGTAACAATAAAATATGCGATAAGCTCCTAATGTTTCCAAACGAATAGTGTTAAGCTTTTGATAATTCATACAAGAGAATACTCAAACTTACAATATCTCACGGTAGTCTGTTTCGATAGATAAACCTGATTCTCGCGCCATTTGCCATGCTTTTAAGCGATATGATGTAAATAGCGCAGATATATTCTTCTCATGAAACATTTACTATATATTGCAAAGACACTTATTAGCAAAGATCAAAACATATTAACTGGTAGAAATGAGAAGAAAGAAACTCACGGGATTGTCTTCACCGCTTTCATCAAGGGCAACCGAATCGTCCAAGAAAACTCTCTCTCGATTATCATCATCATCCGCGTCATTATCATCTACATATTCATCGAATGTAAGATTCCTGGGGTCTCGGTTATCTGCATCAAAATCATTATCGGTTTCTTCGTCACTTTCACTTCTTGTGGTTGGAGAAATGATGGAACTCGAAGAAAATATTTGATGTTCAGGTGTTGTTCGTGGTGGATGGGGAGGAGTGACAACGCGTGGAGGAGGGATTTGAACGTTATAGATAGGTTGAAGATTCTCACCGTCTATTCTTGCTTGTTTTCTCTGCAACTCCTCGTGATAGTCCTAAAGGATTAAAATATAAATAATTAGTTCTGCCATTTACACTTTCCCAACTAAAAATATATCTACCTCTTGATCTCTTTTTTTTTTATGCAAATTATTTAACACCAAAAGTCCCTCCGCTGATAGTTCCAGTTCCGTTTACAGTTCCAACTGTTCCGCCAGACACATATGCACCATTTATCGGACCACTTACAGTCCCGTTTATAGTTGGTTGATGGAGGTGGACCTGTTTATGCGAACGCTCCTTCTCCCACCTCCTTGCTAATTCGTGATCGGGTTTAGGTTCCTAGCAATGTAATAATATTCGGTTAATTAACAATATTCACAATTAACGCGTAATAATTCATCTGATTTCTCATCCCATCTGAACATCAGCCAAGCTAAAAGGTTGCCTGTGCCCAAATGGGACCAACGTTAGATCGACTAAAAGACTTTTAACAACAGCCAAGCTAAAAGGTTGCCTGTGCCCTAACACTGGTTTTGTGGCTCGACTAAAAGACCTGAATGGTAAAGAAGCTAAAAGAATTCCCACCACGCCACGTCTACAGTTTCAATAAAAAAAAATTTTTCACGTATCATTTTATACTTGACATAGAGAGCTTGTGTCTTTTCACGCTTCCTCCCTTGATCACTATTGATAATATTCACGAGACTTTTAAGATATATATCCACTTTGAATCGAAACGGTTCTTTGTTACATTCGTTTAGAAATCCGGTAATACTCCACTCAGTATGTTTACGACTAAAATACTCGTGTATATACATTTTATCGCGTAGTTGGAGTTCGTACGGTTTCACAAATGATTTGCAGTATTATATCATATACCCTTTCAATGGATATGTTTTCGGGTATGTCATCAAGGGTATTCAAGTAGAATACCCTTTCAATAATATGTTTTCGGATAGGTAACATCAGATTTATTTACAGTTATATACTCCGCCTTCTTATATATTTAGTCGAAGTTAACCCACTTTTTTACTATCTATTTTCATGGTATGCTCTCGGGACATAGATAGTATTAATTGATAAGCATACCCGATAGCAATAAGTAGGTAATATTGGCCAGAAAATAATGATACATAACTGAATGCATCGTTGGTATATTTTTTTACCCATGTGACCCAGTGATGGGAATTGGCCACGAACATCAAGCCATTATACAAATATCGCAATCGACCGGTCAAACTCACGTTAAGCCCAACAAGTCGGCATAACCTAACTCAGTTATTTTATTGCAATGGAAGGAATGATAAGTCAATATACGATATCAAATGACATATAAAATGTATTCGATTTATCAAACTCGCAATAACAATATGGGGCATCATAACCTAAGTCAGTTATTCTATTGTAGCTGAAATCACCCACGAACACCAAACAAGTATCCAAATATTGTTATTGAATTTGGGTTATAATAGAAAACGCGTCACTCAAATGACAGTATGTCATTACCTAATTCAAGTATTTCTTTTCAAAGGAAATTGACTAAAGGATCAAATTCGATATCAATAATTTTTTAATCACTCATATAAAATTTCGTATATCAGCTTAATGTTTCTAAAGAGTATACAAACTGTTATCTATCTATGTGTCATAAAAATTGGATCACGTATATCTCTGACTTGAATTTTGTAATTTACACATTACACTTAGGAATATATCATTGGTTAAGTATCATTCGAATGACGTGTTTTATAATCAATCCATCACTCGAATAACTTGAATTTTGTGATCTATACATCATAGCTAAGGAAGAATAACCTAGATTAAGTGGAAATAATATAATGTTATTTTCACTTGAATATTAAATTTGTTTAAAAACCTGTCTAATATATCATTCATCTTCTCAAATAAAAAGTATCAAAATGTATACAATAGCTCCTGATCATATGCATATTCATATAAATATAACAAAAGATAAAGATTTATAGTAATTTTTTCTTTCCCATATTTTTGTTCTATTAATTTAATCATTGCGATTAATCTTTTGTGAACCTTATTTAACAAATTTTATCTTAAAATTTGACATACTAAGATTTGACAAATCTTGCCAAAATTTGTTAGAATTTGTTAATTTATATCTAAAAGATGTTTCTATAAAATAATAGTTGTATATATTGTGAAAAAATTTCTTCACTAATTAGAGTAAAATTCAAAAATCTTTTGTCACTATTTACTTTTCTTGGAATTCAATCAATATCTGATGATACTTGAAATTTTTTCATTATTGATTGTATTTCATCCAATACATTATTTGTTAGTATCCTTTCTTCAATTTATATTTACTTAACGAACTATTTATCAATATTTAAGAAAAAATAATATATAGTATCGATAACTAAATACCAAATTGAATTAAAATTAAATAGGCAAAGAAATTCAGATCATTTGACATGATTCACACTAACAAAACGTTTTCATACTATATTTGAGTTATAGTACTTCTATTTGATATCAATTGTCATAAATGTATCAAAATTTGAATTTTGAATCTAATCTTTAACATTGAATAGATCAATCAAGCATTGATAAACTTCTATATGATATTTATAATAATATTATTTAAAAAACTTTTAAAGATAAAAAC